TTTTTTTTTTTTTTTTTTTTTTTTTTTGGTAGCTAGGGGATTGAACCTAGGGGACTTACAATGAGCTACATCCTAATTCCCCTTCCCCCTTTAAAATTTGAGATAGGATCTTGCCAAATTGCCCAGGCTAGGCTTGAACTTATGTTCTTTATGTCTCAGCCTCCCAGAGTACTGAGATTTCAGGCATGGGCCACCATGCCCAGCTTCAGTAGTGGTTTCAAAGAAGCAACTTGACGTCAGTCTTACAGCCACAAGAAAATGAATTCTGCCAACCACCTCCAAGTTTGGAAGCAGGTCATTTTGCTGTCAAGACTCTCATGAGAACATGGCCTTGGCAGACACCACTTGCAGGCTTGTGAGGTCCTAAACAGACAGCCCAGCTAACTGCCCAAGCTCAAGCCTCACACAAACTGAGATAATACAATGCAACAGCAAGGAGCCACATATACGTGGCTGCAGAAAGTTGAGGTTTGGATCTGCACCAATAGAGAAGAGCCACATCATGATTTTACGTAGGTGAAAGCAAGCTTATTATAAAAGGACAGCAGATATGAGCAGAGTCCAATAATACATTACCACAAGAGGCAGGAAACAGCACCAGCGATGGGGAATCTCCTGGGGAAGGATCTTACATGAGATGGAGCCCTTGGCAGGTACAAGAAAATGCGAGCACTCTACCCAGCTTGTTTGTTTAAGCACTATGTTCAGACGAAAAGTGGCTTGGTGCCAACAGGCCTGCTTGTCTTAGAGCAGTGTCTTGGTTCTGGCTAAACCCAAAGACACTCTCACAGGGCACTCAAGGCAATCTGTACATAACATTTCTTTCCCCGGGGAAATAGCTAGTATCTCTGCAAGAAGCCATAAGCCAAGGTAATTTCAGCAAACACTTGCATTTCACTGGCTCTCATTACTTTTAACCCTTTCCTGGATTTATGTGTCTGATTTAACTAGCTACATTGTGGCCATTTGTTTTGCAGCAATAGAAAATGAATGCCCTGGACATGTGTGACAGTGCACACCTATAATCCCAGCAGCAAGAAGGCGGAGGCAGGAAGGCCATGAATTCAAGTTCAGCCTAGACTTTGTAGGAAGACCCTGTCAAAAAAAAGAAAAGAAAAAGGACAAATGTACTGAGTTATACTCATATTCTCTAATGGCTTTTTCCATTTTATAATTTCATTTGTAGATATTCAACTTAACATTTAGATTCCTTACTCTATTTGTGGGCTATTAAGTAGTTAGCCAATGTACTCTCCACCAATCTACACATTAACATTAGCACGTTAAGAAATGGCAGTTGCCAGAGATTTAGCTCAGTGGTTCTGCTGCCAGACTCGCAAGCCCAAGGTTCTGAGTTTGATCCCCAGTACCAAAAATGAATGAAAAGGCACAATTGACAGGAGCTGCTTTTATTTACCAAGATATCTTCAAACCCACTGCAGGAAAGAATGCATTATAATGCAGTATACAGATCTCTCCCCCACTAGACTGAGCATGTAAACATTAGCATCCTTTTGTTACCAGGCTGTGGGGTGTAAGGGATGTCTTCCAGAGGTGTTTTCTAGGCTCTTTTTATCCTGAACAAAGAATTGGACAAAGGCCAAAGGTAGTGCGGTTTTACATTTATTAAAGGTAGGAAAAGAAACATGCTCTGCCAAGCAAGGGTGGGCTAATTAAAGGTTGGAAAAGAAGTTCACTCTTCAGGGTGAGTGTAGCCAATGTGAAGAGAGAGCAGTGCCAGGAGTCCAGTGGCCACCATCTTTTGTAGTCCCCATCCTTGGGCTTCTGTCAGGTCTAGGCCATCCTTTCAAACTCCTGCTTTTTGTTTGTTTGTTTTTTGAGACAGTGCCTCACTATGTAGAGATTGACCTGGAACTCACTATGTAACTCAGGCTGGTCTCGAACTCACAGTGGTTCTCCTGCCTCAGCCTCCTGAGTGCTCGGATTATAGGCGTGCACCACCATGCCCAGCTACTCCTGCTTTTTTTTTCTTTTTTTTTTTTTTACCAAGATATCAAGACTTGTTTTCTGCTCCATAGGGTTTTTTGGTTTTCTGAGTCAGTCTTGCTTATGTAATTTAGGCTGGCCTTTAACTATGTAGTTTGGGGCTGGCCTTGAACTCTCAGTGATCTTCCTGCCTCAGCCTCCTGAGTGCTAGCATTACAGGTGTCCACAGGCTTCAGAGTCCACTGCACTACTAACTCCCCAGTGCTTTTCAGGCATGTGTTAGCCATATTTTCTTCTGTTGGAAATCCTTGTGGAAGCTTGAGGGGCTGGATTCTGTGGCACGAGAGAATGTATTTAGAATTATACTTGGGGACACATTTCTTTCAAACTGCTGAGATAATACACAAACCTTATCAAATGTTTAACCACTTTCAATTTTGCATTTACTGAAGGGATATTCTTGTGAACTTGAGGAGTATGTGCCTATGAACAAAAGAGAAACAATGTCACGGGTCAATTTAAAATGAATATGATCCTGTTTCAGTGTTACATGGAAGGCTTTTTCTACCCAAATCAAACTTATGATTACAAATGTTTCACTGAGTAATACATTTAACCATTGAACATATATATCTCAAAATTTAAATAGTAGAAAGTTTAAAGTGAATTTAAACAACACTAAAAATGACTAAAGTAGATGCGTACCTTTTCTAATCCAAGCATCTTTATTATATCTTTTTCCCAATATGGACGTCTTCTTGTACTTTTTATTCTGGTAACAATATGCAATTTATGTGGGTGCTGGGGGTCTCCACCATATTTTTCATGATCTTCAGATGAAGGCTGAAACACCTAGAAGGGAAGATTTAGAAATAATAAATTTTTAACTTATATATAGTTTCTGTGTATCCCATATTTTTTTCTTACATCCATGTACAAAGTACATAATTATCTCATTCCTAATCTTTATATAAATTTCAAACTCAAACTGAAAATTTCTACCACACCAGACTATTCAGATAAACAGATTTAAAATTTCATACTCTAAAAATTATCACACAGACAAGGATTTGCTCTGTTTTGCTTTTTAACTGGAAGAACAAAGCAGAAGCAACCAGATGACATTGAGGAATCCAAATAACAGGAGAATGTCTTCGAACTATAGCAGTAGTACCCTCTGTGTGAAAACAGAAAGCCCAGGACCTTCAGGGAGTGCACATTTCAGACTTTCACACCAAAATCTGAAAAACTCCTGAAATTAAGGGATAGGATGATACATTTTGTTCTGTGTATTTTGCAAAAGTAAAGAAGCAAAGAGGAAGGAAGGAAAGGAGGGAGGGACTCTGCCCCCTCAAAAAACTCAGCTTTCACCAAGCTGAACATAGTCTTTACCTTACAGTTCAGCAACTGTGTTCCATGGTTATTATTCAATGAATTGAAAACATGTCCACACAAAGACCTACACAGAAGTACTGGTCCAATTTTATTACTGCCCCAAACTGAAATCATTCAAGAGGTCAGTTGGTAAGTGAATGTACAAATAAACTATGTAAATCTATACCATGACATAATATTCAGCAATAAGAATAAAGAAGCTACTAAGCCATGAAGAGATATACAAGAACCCTAAATGGAGACACTATTAAAAGAAACTAGTGTGAAATGACTACATACTATATGGTTTCAACTCCGTGACATTGTGGAGAAGATGAAACTATGAAAATACTAAAAAGATTGGTAGGTGCCAAAGTCTGGGAGTTAGGAGGAATAGGTAGCGCAGAGGTGATATTCAGGGCAGTGAAACTATTCTGCAATATTCTGTAATATGAATACATGATACTATGCATGTGTCAAAGCCCACAACTATATAACAGAGAACCCTACATAAACTGTGACCTTTAATTAATAATAATGTGTCAGTGTTCAGTCAATAATTGTAACAACTGCATCACAGCAGCATAAGATGTTAGTTCCAGTGAAAATTGTACTTTGAGGGGAGGGAATATATTGGAAGTCTCCACACTTTCCAATCAATTTTTCTGTAAATCTAAACTATATGATGAAATAAAGCCTATTAATTAAAAACTGAACCAACAAAGCAAAACAAAATGAAAACCAAAGTCAACATGGGTTAGTTTATGTTTTCTAAAAGACGGATGGGTATAAAAGAATCTAATACAAAAGGCTGAGAGATTCAAAGTAGTAATGGTGGATAAAGAAGTAAAAAGTTGGGACGGGGATTTTAGCTCAGTGGTTTCGCCACTTGCCCTGCAAGCACAAGCACCTGAGTTCCATCCCTGGTACCAAAAAAAAAGTAAAGAGTCACAGAGAACAACCCTGGGCTGGAAGGCCCAGTGTTTTCCCATGATGAAACACATATACAGAGAAAAACCAAAGACTCAGAAATAATAAAAACCCACCCCTGTGGATGCCAGTGGCACAGGTTAACATACTTTTCTTTTTAATATTATCATTTCCACGAATCCTACTATGTTTTAAATGCTGTACTGTTGTGAGACTTTAAGAGAGGAGAGACTAACAGGTGACACAGGAGGATTTATTCCAGAATTTTATGTGTATACCAACTTGGCAGGTTAATGGCCAAAGGCTGAGCCCAGAACAAAGGAAAGGCTCCAGTTTTATAGATTTGGTTGAAGGGATTGGTCTTTCTAGTGAAGTAGCAAGTGGTTTTACAGAAGCAGGATAAAGGCAGACAGTTTTGTAACTTGGGTCTTAAAAGAAGAGAGCCTTGTGAATCTTGTGAGAACAAGATGACATAAACTTTGTTTATAGGACATAGTTTCCAATTTTATCTGTACCAGAACAAGGAATTACAGCTGGGAGAGAGGGGTAATCCAAGGTGAGGGGCGGCCAAAGATAGGAAAAACTTGGTTTTCCTTTAAGTCCTGCTTTAGTACCATCACCAAATATAATTTAATATAAAATTTTTCAATATTACAAAGTCGGTACCCTTTTAGACACAAATTTTAAAAATAGTAACAAAAAAATTCTTACTTTATCTGGAATTCTTGATTTGGTAAATTTGTGACGAATCCAATTTGTACCCACGAGAGACTCCATACCTTTCATCACAGTCTAAAATATTATATAAAAAAATTGTTCTTTTAGAACCCTGTCCAGTGCAGAAATCCATACCCATCCAACCTTAGCTGTAAAGTTCGTTTTGAATTAACTTATTAAAAGTTTATCTCAGCTCTGAATGAATATATCTCCTCTATCCACTAATATAAAGATAAAAGTACATAAATAAAAAACCAAGAGTCAGTAAACTTTTTCTGTAAAAGATCAGATAGTAAATATGTTCAGCTTTGAGTTGTTTATCTCTACTGCTAAGCCTTGACTCTGCCTATTTAGGGTGAAAGAAATCATATACAATTTTCAAACAAAGTATGGCTGCTTCAATAAAAAAATTTATTTACAAAAATAAGTGGCAAGCTGTGTTTGGTCTGGAAGCCATAGTTTACCAATTTTTGCTCTAGACCATGTGTAATAATTCACCTTTCATAAAACAAGGTAAAAGAATCCAAAGTGAGTTTTCTTTCTAGTCCTAATAATGCCTTACTTCTAATTCCTATCTTTTGTTCCTGTTCTTTCTCCCTCTGATCCTATTTTTCTCAGGCTGCTTGTGGGGAAGGAGGAGGGAATTCCCTGCCAACTTTTCACCCCAGCAAAGTGTTGTGTGGATGAGTGACAGCTACTCCCACCATTCCCTTCAGTCTTCCCTGTATTGCAGTGACAGGGCATCAACAGCTATAGGACGGGTGGGTCTTTTACACTGAAACACTGAGTCTACACACTGGTTCTGCTGCTTTTAGCTGTGAGACAGGACATACCTATCCTCTCAGTTTCCTCAGAACTAAAAACAAATTTTTAGTCCCAATTTTATGGGATCCATCAGAAGTTAAGATAATGTATACATTATTACCATTGACAGCCAGCAGCAGGTCTATTTTAGACCTAGTCTACATCTAGGTCTGTAATAACCCTGTTCTTAAGTATAAATTAGGATAATACATTGTTGCACTCTATAAACAAAGCATAGAAGGAAATACATAAAAATTCTAACATCAGTTATCTCTGGGAGAGTGTTTCTCTTCTTTCTGTTTCCCTGAATTTTGCTAATTTTCGGTGACTGAAATGTACAATTTTTAGTTGGTGTGGTGGTACAACCCTATAATCCCAGCACTTAGCAGGCTGAGGCAGGAGGATTGCTGAGGATCTAAAGTCAGCCTAGGCTACATAATGAGTTCAAGGCCAGCCTGAACTACACAGCAGGACCCTGTCTCAAAAAAACAAAACAAAAATACAATTTCCATAATTGATGGGAAAAAAGTCCTAAAACTTTTAGGATTAAAGCAGATATAGGGAAATCAGCAGTGGCTGTTTTTTACTGCCATGTTCTCCAGAAAAGAGGTTTTATTTATAGTTTTTTTTTTTCCAAGACAGGGTCTTACTATGTAGTTGAGACTGCCCTAGAATTCACTATGTAGCCCAGGCTGGTCTCAAATTCACAGTGATCCTCCTGCCTCAGCCTCCTGAGTGCTGGGATTACAGGCATGCACCACCATGCCTGGCTATTTAGTTTTTTTTGAGACAGGGCTCACCATGCTGCCTAGGCTGGTCTTGAACTTGTATGTTCAATTGATGCTCCCACCTTGGCCTCCCAAGTGGCTGGGACTACAGGTGCGTGGTATCATGCCTAGCTGTAATTCCAAATCATTAGGGATGAAATAGCAAATCAACCATAAATAAACAAAATTAACACCTATATTATAAAATTAATATATAAAGAAAGGAACCTGTAGAAGAATTTGCCTTATGTTTTGTAATCAGAGAAAAAAAAAAAAAATTCTTGAAACACTTACCTGTAGCCTGCCGGGGGGCCCTTGAACCACTGTGTGCAAAATCCCTGCCATAGTGCAGTATTATTTGTCTTCAGAGGCTGTAAGAAGTAGAAAATAGATCCACTGGTGAAATGTTTTGGAAATTGTCAGGTCCCCCCTTCTCTAGTGTTTCAAAACAAATCAGCATGTTAAGTATAAGCTCGACTGAAGTTTAACAAAACCTTAGAGCTGGGCCTGATGGCACAGTCCTATATTCCCAACACTCTGGGAGGCTGAGGCAGAAATATCATAAGTTTGAGCCCAGTCTGGGCAACTCAGTGACTTGCAACTTAGCAAAACCTGACTCAAAATTAAAATTTAAAAATGGCCACAGATGTATGTAATTGACTGCGAAGGACCTAGGTTCAATCCTAGTGCTACAAACAAAAAAACTTGATGATTTTAATAGTATAAAGGCAATTTATTTTTATTTTTCTAGTGCTGGGGATTGAATCCAGGACCTTTATAATAAGCTACATCTCAAGCATTTTTTTTTCCAGCTTTAATTGAGTTTATTGGTACATTTTAGGGATACAGTACAGTTACACTCGTTGGGATCTTGCACCTCTACATGCCAGGGCTTGGTTCTCATTTTTTCCCCTTGTCCCTGCCCTCCCTTCACCCCCTCCTCCCCTCCCCATCTACAAACACTTTATTTCCATCTTTTCATTATCTCACATTCTTTTCTTTTCCCTTATTACCCTTCCCCTACCCATCCCACCTTCCCTACACCTTTAGCCCCTTTCTTCCCATTTCACAATGATTTTTGTTTTTTTCTTTTTGAGTCAGGTACTAAGTTAAATTGCCCAGACAGAGCTCAAACTTGTATGTGATCCTCCTGCCTCAGTCTTCTATAGTAAAAACAAAGGTTAAAAAAAAATAGTACATACATAGTAAAAAAATTTTTTTTAAATTAGTCATATACCATTCCTTCCAATGAGTTACAGCCTAGTTGATGCCACAAAAACTGAGAAATGGGAATTTACTATCATTTTAAACATCTATAACAACGAACTCACAGCAATCCTCCTGCCTCAACTTCTCAAGTGCTGGGATTACAGGTGTCCATTACCATGCCTGGCCGAACCAATTTATTTATTTTTTTGGTACCAGGAATCAAACTCATGACTTGTGCTTGTGAGGCAAGCAAAAAAACTACTGATCTAAAATCCCCGGCTGAACCAATTTAATGCTAAATTAATTATTTTACAATACTTTTCCTTGCAAGATGAGCATTATAAACTAATCCAGCATATTTGGCTTCACACTTTGTTAAATCTTCCTCTTACCACTTAAGACTTCAACAAAATCCTCTGAGCTTGACTTGCCTTTCATTCCAAGCTCCCTAATGACTTTTTCCCACACAAAAGCAAGTCAGCTCATTAAATATCATCACTCTGTTCAAAATCCTCAAAAGAGAAAGGTTTCTCATTGCTGAAGTAGGAACTCATGGTTAGGTTAAAGTAGACACTATGGGTATGAAAATACAGATTTGCATGCATAGGAATGTCAGCTGAATCAGTTGAGGACCCAAAATCAAGGACACCTAAACTGTAAGCAGTAATGAATACACTCAGTGCCCAGATCTTGCTAACAATCTTCTCTGGTAAAAGGAGAAATGCTGATGATGTCTGGAGCCTCTAGTAGTGCCAGAGAGTGACTATATAAAAAGTAAAATGATGGGAAATATGTTAAAGGGACACAGGGGCCAACTGAGTGACCAATGGAAGAAGAAGAAGAAAGGAGGAAGAAGAAAAGAAAGAAGAAAGAAGACAACGACGACCAGGGCGACGACAACAAGGAGGATGACGATGACGACGAATAAAAAAAAAACAGTTTAAAGTATTGGGTTACAACCTGAACCAAAAAATACACAGTCTGAAGTCCATATGGATTTAAGTAAGTGGATAAATGAGAAAAGAAATGAATCTCCTGTACAGAAGAACTGTTGATAATTTATATAGATACTGTCCCCTCAAGGCAGTAGATAAAAACTATGCATCCCTAGCATGAGCTAGGGTTAATGACTTGTTCCCAGGGTATAAAAAAAGGGAAAAAAATAAGGCAAGTTGTGGTGGCGCACACCTGTAATCCCAATACAATACACAGGAGGCTGAGGTAGGACTGCTACAAGTTCAAGGCCAACCTGCACTACACAGCAAGACCCTGTCTAAAAGGGGGAGGGCTTTTCAAGGGGGAAACCTGACAAACACCACCTTACTGAGGTGATCAAGGTTAGCATCGACAATGATAAAAATCAAGCTTACAGCATGTACACATGATAAAAGAATGGCACTTCACCACTGGTGTTTCACCCCTAAACCCCTAGACTCCACTGAAAGAGAAAACCTCCAATTAATGACCATTGTGCAAAATACTTAACCAATACTTCCTTAAATACCTAACTGCTTCAGACTGTCATGGTAAAAAAAATGAGAAAAGTCCAAGAAACTAGGCAAGAATAATATAAGAAGATACGATCATTAAATGTAGGTTCCTAGGGCTGGGGATTTAGCTCAGCAGCTCAGTGGCCTGCCTTGCAAGCACAAGGACCGGAGTTCAATAACCGGTATCAAAGAAAAAAAAAAAAAAAGTAGGTTCCTGACAAAAACTAAGGAAATCTGAAAAAAATAAGCACGGACTTTAATCAATAGTGTATCAATATTGGTTCATCAATTCTAACACACATTATCAAAAGGGGAAAGTGGGTGCAGCATATGTAGGAACATTATATTACCTTCACAACTTTTTCTAGACAGCTAACATTTTTTAAAAACCCACAGTGCCTCTTCATTTAATCACAGTGAAAGCCAAAGTCCTTAATCCCCACATCCCATTCCTTTGCACACCACTACCACCTTTGCACTTCCATCTCGGTCTCCTCATCCCTGAAATCTAGGACTTCATCACTAGACAAGCTGATACCTTGCTTGGCCTGAAACTAGCCAAGTAGCAGTTCCCTTTAACTGGCAGAATAATCCTGACCTGACTAATCCCGTGTCTTTCAATTTTTGTCTCAAACCTCACCTTGTTAATGAGGTCTACCCTGATTATATTAAACATTCTGACACATGCAACTGCGAGCACTCCCGACTCCTTAATCTTTTTTCCAACAGCACTTATCATCTCATAACTTGATTTTACTTGTTTAGCATTTGTCTCCACTTACAGCATGTCAGTTTCATGGAAAAAGGATTTAAATTTTTGGTTGATATATTTTAAGACATATCCTACTTATCTTCCTAAAGCAGCACCTTCTCCATAGCGGTACACTTTACTGTACACTTGCTGAATGAAGTTTAATTTACAGACATCAGACAGTGTGCCAGGGATTCGGCTCAGTGGTTCTGATGCCTGCCTCGAAAGCACAAGGACCCGAGTTCAATCCCCAGTACCAAAAAAAAAAAAGCATATACAGACAGTGTGACAGTCAAATTATTCTGTTTTTGCTTTGTGGCACTGAGAATTGAATCTGGGCCTCATACCTACTAGTTAAGGGCTCTTTGACTGTGCTGCCTCAGCCCCAAAAGTTTTATCTTAATAAAGTAGAGCTTATTTTTCATTTTCTTTCTTTCTTTTTTTTTTTTTGGTACCGGGGATCAAACTCAGAACCTTGCACTTGTAAGGCAGGTGGCAGAACCACTGAACTAAATCCCCAGCCCCTTTGTAGAGCTTATTTTTATTAGCCATGCAACTCTTGGACCTTGAAGCAACTATACTATCTTCTACTTTACAATAACTCTTCTCTAGCACAGCTATAAAAACAGGAAAATACCTATTTAAAAAAAATATCTGTGATGTGTGTATACAACTCCAAAAGGCTGTCAAAAAACATTAACACATCCCTGTATGGTAGGCTGTATGAGCAATATTATATCGGATTTTTTGTTTTGTTTTTATTTTACAGTGGCCATCCATGTAAAGATTCCTTTAAAAAGCAATTTCATCTCCTAAAGAAGCATGCATTTGGTTATACAAGCGAGGAAAAAGCCACTACATAAATGCATAAAACTACCCTTGCCAAAACAAACACACATAGACTGAGATCTGTGAAGGAAAGAAATGGCTCTTTCTTCTCTATACTCCTAGTATCTAAAAAGGGGCAGGCCCGCCTACAAACTACTTTTTGGCCAAAAAGGCAGAAGCAACTTTGGGTAGATGGTGATCAAAACATGCTTGCAAAAATCTGTTTTTAGCAAATGGCAAACATTTTAGCTGCCAGCCCCTGAAAGTTTCCTTTTTAAAGACAGCAATTTTAAAATAGGGCAATTTTACGTTTCTTTTAAAAAAAACATCCCCAGTGGAAGCCCTCGGTTATGAATAAAGCAGATACAATGCTTAGAAAGCACACGTGAATTAATTCCCACTACCAAGAAGTCCAGCATTGGCGACTCCGTCCAGAGCTCCAACAGTGCGGCGCAGGAGCCCCTCGAAAAGGACGCGGGATCCTGCCTGTCGACGGCTTTTCCGGCTTCAAAGAGATTGAATCGGGACACGGACACCTTTAAGTCCGTGTGACCCCCCCCCTCCAACTCAGAATGGCACAAGGGAAATCTATCAGCACGCAGCAAAGGAAAGCTAGAAACAAACTCCTCGAGGAAAAGGAAATACTCTCAACCACTTACTCCGTACTCACCAGCGGCAACTAAACGTCCAGCCTGAATTTCCGCACAGAGCGGAAGCTGAGAGGAGGAAGGACCATCGAGTTCAACACCCAAACCCCGCCGTCTCAGTGCGCGCGACCTTTTAGTTCCGAGAGGCGCAGTTTAGTTCGAGCTACAGTCCCACCCACTCAAGGACTGGGGGAGGGCACAGGCGCCACTGTGCCACAAGACCATTTCCCGGAAGCACACTAAACTCGGCTCGCGTTAACTGGGGCCGAGGTGGAGGGGAATTGTCTTAATTACGGCCATGTCCCAGGTTGGGGAAGATCCCGATAGCAGAACTGCAATCACTGTGCTGAAGCGGGCGGTGGAACTAGATTCGGAGTCCCGGTACCAGCAGGCCCTAGTGTGTTACCAAGAAGGGATTGATCTGCTTCTGCAGGTTCGGAAAGGTGAGCGGTGGAGGGGAAGACCAGGGAAAAAGGAGGAGTTTTACCCTGTTTATAGGTGAAGTGAAACTATGATTCTTCCACACTAACAGGAAGCGGTCAAAGCCGAGGGTGGGATACTCTGCAGGACAGCTGGGCTGGTATCTATATCTATATCTATATATCTATAATAGATTGATGTCATCATGTAAGGAGAGGGTCTGTTTCTAGGTTTTTAAAAAGAGTTATGAGAAAACCATATGCAAATAAAAGCCTTGATAGTTAAGGCCGGGTTTGAACGAACTTTAAGAGACATCGTTGGATTAGGAAAGTCCGAATTATAGAGTGACTAATATTAAAATTATTAGGCAATTTTCCAAAAAAAAAAAAAAAAAAAAAC